TAGGGAAAGGAGGAACTGCTTTATAATTGGTGGTAAAGAGTTGGGTATTGAACTTGGGAAAAAATGGGATATCTGCTGCTGTACCACACTGTATACTGTATATAAAAATTCCAGGTTTATTAAAGTTTAATTGTAAAAAGCAAAACTTTATTACTTTTAGTAGAAAAATAAGAGAATCATTTTATGACTTTGACGTAGGAAAGAATTTCTTTAAATAAGACCCTAAAAGTACAAGCCACGAAAATGGATAAATTTGATTCTCAAAATTGTTTCTCAGTTCATTAGAGAACAGCATGAAGAAAGTGAAAATACAAACTGGGGGAAGCTGTTTGCAACATCTAAAACTGACACAGGATTCGAACTCAGATCAAGAACTTCTTCAGATCATAAGAAAAACACAAGTCTCTTAACTGAGAGCTGAGAAAAATACTTGAGCAGGTAGTACAGTGATCAGAAGAAGCTGGATGGCCAGTAAACACAGGGGGAGAGAAGGTCAGCCTTATAAGTTTATCTGAGATTCAGCTGTACTCCCACTACTTTGAAAAAATGAAAAGGTTAAACAGTGCAAAGTTTGTCAAGAGGAGGAGTATAAATTAGAACAATTGCTCTGGAAATATATTTGGCGGTACCAGGTAAAGCTGATGGCTATACCCTGCAGTCCTAGAAAAGATTCAAAAACATACACAAAGGGGACATGTCTGAGAATGTTCGTAGTGGCACTATTTATGATAGTTAAAAGTTAGAAAATAAATGTCCACCAACAGGAAATTGGAGAAATTGTGGCACATTCGTACAATGGAATATTATATACCAGTGAAAATGAGGGAACCAGAGCTACACCTATTAGCCTGTTAATACTAAATGAAACAAAGCAACTGCAGAATAGGAACAAATTGTATATATATAGTATTAGAAAACACATAAAACATATGTTTCTTAGGGCTATACATATAATTTGGAAAAGCATAAAGAAACACATAGGAATGATAGAAGCCAAATTCAGGCTAGTAGTTACTTCTAGAGTGGAGGTTGGGGGGATGCAAGTGGGAAGGGGTACACGGGAGGATTCAGCTATGTTCTTATGTTTTCTTAGGCCAGGAGGTAGATGCATGGTATTTCATGTGTTATTTTCTTGGCATGGCTCAATTATTTTATAAGTCTTGAAACAGTAATTAAGATACTAAAAATGAGAAAGGAAAAATAGGTAATTTTATTAAAAAAAAATTAATTTGTCTTTCTTCCCCCCCCCCTTGAATTTACCATATTGATGTTTAGTTTAATTCACATGTTTATAGGAATTAAAACAGCATTTTGAAGGTGCTGCTTAATTACTCTGCTGTGTCACTATAAAGACATGTATTTCTTGGGGCTTCCCTGGTGGTGCAGTGGTTGAGAGTCCACCTGCTGATGCAGGGGACACGGGTTCGTGTCCCGGTCCGGGAGGATCCCACATGCCGCGGAGCGGCTGGGCCCGTGAGCCATGGCTGCTGAGCCTGCGCGTCCGGAGCCTATGCTTTGCAACGGGAGAGACCACAACGGTGAGAGGCCCACGTACAGCAAAAAAACAAAAAAAACACGTGTATTTCTTAATGGTGAGAGGTTGGGTGCTTTTGCCCATCAGTGGTTTGCACTATTGTAATAGTGTCACAGCTGTTCCACCTCTACGTACATGCTCTTCGCACGGATTGTCCTCAGCAGTCAGATAGATGCCAGCCGCCCCTGGAGTTCCCACCCTGACCGTACTACAGGGAAAAATATCTGACAGTCTCATAATGTAACTCACTTTATCTCAGTAATATTGGAATGCCACTGTGTCTACTGATACTAAAATGTTTTTAGTCTTCAGTTTCTCCTGTGCGCCCACAGTGCAGTTCCAGCAGGGTATGTCCAGTGGTCTGGTGCTCATCTAGAGATGGTCCTTGGTGTGAGAAGGTGTTCGTGTCATAATGTAAAGCACCGCACTGCTGCCGACATTGAGAACATTTTGCTACCAAAACACTATGTTACGTGGTGTGCTCGTGGTGCAGTTGACTTACATTCTGACGCAACTCCTTATTTCATCACTGGTACCAAACAGCAGCCTTGAGTTATAACATTTATTAATCGGAAATCCTCAAAACAAAAATGGGATTGTAAAAGCTCTTCACAAAACTCCTTCCATTAATAAACTTTTAGAAAAGGGATAATTTATATTTCCTTCGTAATTAGTTGGAGAATATACGTGTTCCCTGGTTTTGATTTATTAACTTCTCACATGAAATGTGGATTTAAGAGGTACCTTTTTCTGCTATAGGACTTCAGCCGTGGACGACATCCCTGTCATCAGCACTGTCATCACTCTGCCACACGTGATTGTAGAAAATATCCCTCTCCATGTGAACGCAGGTAACGGCACTCACATTTTATTTGATCAAAAAAATCCAGGGCTTCCCTGGTGGCGCAGTGCTTGAGAGTCCGCCTGCCAATGCAGGAGACGCGGG